CCCATTCCCCGCCTTGGGGCCGGGTGGGAGCTGGCGCCCCCTAGAGGCGACGGGCCCCGCGCCCCATTCCCCACCCCCCTGAGTCAGCCAGTCCCTGCCCTGTATAAAAGGGGGTGGGGGCAGAGCTGGGGTGGGGGGGCTGTTGCACAATCCAGTTGGGTGATTAGCGTGTGATCCCCACCCCCGGTCACGCTGCCTTCTAGGAGGTGGGGCTCGAGGGGGCTCTGGAGTCAGCACCCTGAAAAATGAGGAAGTTGCTGAAAAAGCTGAAGGCGGAGGAGGGGCAGGGCAGCAGAGGGGGAGGGGTAATACAGGGGTTTGGGGGTGCACAGGGTGGGGGAAGTGCAGGGAGGGGTAGCACAGGGGAGAGGGGCTAGGGGAGCACAGGGGGGAGAGGGAATGGGGGGCACAGGGGGGAGGGGCACAAGGGAGAGGGGGAATTGGGGGGCACAGAGGGGAGGAGCACAATGGGGAGGGTCTGGGGGAACACAAGGGGGAATGGGAATGGGGGGCATAGGGGGGAGGGGCTGGGGGAGCACAGGGGGAATGGGGGGCACAAGGGGGGAAGGGGAATGGGGGGCACAGGGGGGAGGGGCTGGGCTAAGGGAAGAAGTGCAGGCAGGGGAGGAGCTACGGGGAGAGGGAGGGACCAGGCGAGTGGGGGGCGGGGTGGGAAACTCAGGTCTCTGCGCTGATGCTGCCACCTGCTGGCCAGAATCTGTAACTGCAGCCAGAACATTTACCTGGGGCTCAGAGGAGACAGCACATACCCAGCCAGCTCCCAAACCCTCCTGAGACCCGGTAACAACAAATCAACCCCAAGACTCCGAGACCCTACAATGACTCACCAGCCCCCCTCAACTCCCAGGAGACCCTACAATAACTCACCAGCCCCCGCCCCGATAACCTACAATAACTAACCCCCGCCATCACCCAGGAGACCCTACAATAACAAATCCGCTCTCCCAGCCCCCAGAAGACCCTACAATGACAAACCAGATCCCCGAGCCCCCCCCAGGAAACCCTACAATAATAAACCTACTCCCCCAACATCCCAGGAGACCCTACAATAACAAAACAGCCCCCTCCAACTCCCAGGAGACCCTACAATAACAAACCAGCTGGCGGTGCACATTGGGACAGACACAGAGGGGCGGGGCCTGGGACATTGGTCCCTCCCCTCTGTCTGTCTGTCCAGGCAATACCTCCCCGGTCTTACATCATACGGGGGGGGGGCCTGGCCCCGAGCGGCCAATCAGAGCCGGGGCAAGCGGCGGGAGAGACCGATAGACTGGAGAAGGAGGGGGGGAGCCCCCCCCGGCCCCGCTCCGCCTCCCTCTTGGCGGGCTCCCCCTTTAAAACGGGGCCACCGCCCCCCTGCGAGCGGCACCCGGACGCTTGGGTCCTTTCTGCACGGTACGCAGGATGTCCGCGCCGTACACCCGACTCCTGGGGTGAGTGTCTCCGCCCCTGTCGGTCTGCCCCCCCCTGCAGCCCGAACCCCCGTCTTGCACCCCTATGTACCCCCGAACCCCCGTTCTCCTGCACCCCCTATGTGCCCCAGAACCCCCATCCTCCTGCACCTCTATGTACCCCCGAACCCCGTTCTCCTGCACCCCCTATGTACCCTGGTCCTGCACCCCTATGTGCCCCCGAACCCCCGTCCTCCTGCACCCC